AGTAATGACTGGAGGGATGGGAACCAGTGCGCTCCCGTGCGCTCGGGAGCGATCAAAATAGCCCGCCGGCGGTCTGCTCTGATCCGGTCCAGTAGTCACGGGATCAGAGGGACAGGAGGGAAGGCATAAAGCAGCCTGTCCGGCCAGGGACGGTGCGCAAAGGCGTCCACTCCCAGAGGAGGGTCATCCCGTGAGCTCAGGGAGAACCAGAGGTCGCACTGTGCGTTTTCTCTGCTGGCGAACAGGTCCACTTCCGCCTTTCCGAATCTGTCCCAGATTTGCGTAATTATGGTCATGTGCAGGGCCCTGTCCCCATCCTAGGGACCCCCTCTGGACATGATGTCTGCTCCCCTGTTCAGCACACCCAGAATGTAAACCGCTCGGATTGAGCGCAAGTGGGTGTGTGCCCAGAGGAGAAGCTCTCTGGCTGTGTCCAGCAGCTGCCGGAAACGTACCCCTCCCGGGCGATTTATGTAAGCTGCTGCCACTTTGTTGTCCGTGTGGACCAGAACATGCTGGTCCTGGACCAGATGAGTGAAATGCACAAGCATTTTCACACAGTTAGAAGTTCCAGAACATTTATGTGGGGGACAGGATGGGCAGACCAGCGGTCTCCCACAGTCTGGGACAAGCATGTCCCCCCCCCACCCTGACAGTGACGCGTCTGTGAAGACCGGCACGTGATGTGTCGCTCTGCTCAGAGGGACTCCTGCTGACTGTGTGCGGCTTCCTCCAGTGGTTCAAATCCGCCCCCACTGAGGAGGGGATCGATACGATACTGCGCTTGTGGCGTATCAGATTGATCTTTAGCCGGGAGAACCACCGCTGTAAGCGTCTCGTGTGTAGCATCCCGAGCGGAACCACCGCGTGGGCTGCTGACATCATGCCCAAGAGACGCATGATGGTTAGGGCTGTCACTGACCTGCAGGGTCTGACATGCGCTAACAACAACAACAGCAGAGTCTCTTTCCTGGGTTGGGACAGATGAGCTGTCATGGTGACTGAGTTCAGATCCACACCCAAATACGTAATGAGTTGGGCTGGAATGAGAGAACTCTTGTTCCAGTCTATGGAAAAACCCAGCATCCTTAGGTGTGCTGACAGTTTCTCTGTCTGTGACGCTGCTTCCTGTCTGGATGGGGCCAGCAGGAGCAAGTCGTCCAGATAAAACAGGATTCTCATTCCCGCTGAGCGCAGAGGCTGCAGTGCTGTCTCTATGCATTTTGCGAAGGTGCATGGTGCCAATGCGTAACCGAAAGGAAGACGGTTGTACTGGTACTGAGTCTGCTGACAAAAGAAACGCAGGTATTTTCTGTGCGCCGGGATGGCCGGGACATGAAAATAAGCGTCTTTCAGGTCGATTGACGTGAACCAATCGCCTTCCTGAACACATGTGAGCATCTGTTTGGTAGTCAACATGTGAAAAGGTCTTTTAAGTATGAATTTGTTGAAAAACGAGAGATCCAGGATCGGTCACATCGCACCCGTTTTTTTGGGGACAAGGAAATACCGGGAATAAAAACCCTCGTATTCCTTCCTACTTGGAACTCTGGAATTGACTTCCTTGTTTAGAAGTTCCTGAAGCTCCGCTTGAATAGCAAGATCCTGCTGAGAAGATGACAAACGGGTCTCTAGGATCCCGCTGAACCGGGGAGGCTTGGTTGCAAACTGCAACCTGTAACCCATTTTTTATCTAGCGTTTCATCCACTTGTCCATAGGACAAGTGTGTTCCCAGACGGAGCTGCGCTCTGAGAGAGCTCGCGCATGCGCCGGTTGTAAGAACGGTTGTCGTAGCAACTGATCCACTTAGAGCCTTCGCCGCCATCACGCTCTCTCGTGTGACCCTTGGGAGGCTTTGCTCGAAAGGGCTGTGCAGGAGCTCCGGGGAGCCCTGCGCGCCGTTGTTTTGAATGCGGCCCGGGAGGGGTTGCCTCCGGGGCCGTACGTGAGCATGAGTTAAGGCGGGTTTCAGTGGAGCCAAACACAGCACTCATTGCGCCGCTGTGATTGGTGGATTCATGCTGAAACGAGGCGGGGGTGACACGCCCTTGCTTGTGATGTGGCTTATGCTGTCTGTCTTCTCTTATGTCCGCCATTCACCAGCGGGGTGAAGAGAAGAGTGTGTGTGCGTTCGCCGGCCACGAGGGGGCGGAACGGGCCACCGAACGTGGAACGGTGGGAGAAGACGTTTTTGTGTGACTGTGTTTAGCAAGGACCAGAGGCCGGCTAGTTTCAGAACTAGCGGACCTAGCCTTACCCATACACATTTCTCCTGCTTCCAAAACACGATGCAGGACGCACACCCGGCCTAAACAGTGCAGGGATTCAAACTGTGTTTAGCAAGGACCAGAGGCCGGCTAGTTTCAGAACTAGCGGACCTAGCCTTGCCCATACACATTTCTCCTGCTTCCAAACCACGATGCAGGACGCACACCCAGCCTGAACAGCGCAGAGATTCAAACTTGTGCTGGCCTCTGTGCTGAGGTCCCGTCCCGTGTTTGTTTTGAAAAATTGACGGCCTGGAGAGTGATGTTGGTTGCAGCACCCGACTGTGCCGCACGATGACGGGACCGTTCGGCCCAGCTGCCAAGCTGCTGGTGTACTGCTTGTGAGAGAAAAGGTCGCCCTCCGGCAGACCGTTCCGCCTCAGCGACGAAGACCATGGAGGACGAAGATTCCAGTACTGGGACTGGCGGAAACCAAAGACGGTCACCCCCTCCACTTTGTCACGTCCGCGTGGAACGAGACCGGGGCTCTCAGCTTGGAGTAAGCAACTCCTAGCATTGTAGCTAGTATCTCCATGCTGGGGCAAAACCCGTCTTGGCCAAACGGTCTGGATGAGCTCCCAGTCCAGTCCTGGCTGGGAGCGTCGACCACTGAATGGCTTAATCCAGTTAGGTAACTCCTCCGTGTTGCGAGCAAGCCAATAGCAGCCAACACATCGTGTGTTACAAACCAGCTAGCAGCAGTCTGCAACTGCTCTGGTCAAGCTACATAGTGCGTCCATGGCTAGGAGCTACACCAAGCGGCAGCACCCTGACTCCAGCTTCTCTACTGAAAAGCGGGGTCCAATTTCGGCACCAAACGCTGAGATATAGTGCACTGCTTAGCTTAGCTAGGTGGCTAACCGGCTTAGCTAGTTTGCCGCCGTGATCTCCGGCGGGAAACCCCGCTAGCCTNCCGGGACATGAAAATAAGCGTCTTTCAGGTCGATTGACGTGAACCAATCGCCTTCCTGAACACATGTGAGCATCTGTTTGGTAGTCAACATGTGAAAAGGTCTTTTAAGTATGAATTTGTTGAAAAACGAGAGATCCAGGATCGGTCACATCGCACCCGTTTTTTTGGGGACAAGGAAATACCGGGAATAAAAACCCTCGTATTCCTTCCTACTTGGAACTCTGGAATTGACTTCCTTGTTTAGAAGTTCCTGAAGCTCCGCTTGAATAGCAAGATCCTGCTGAGAAGATGACAAACGGGTCTCTAGGATCCCGCTGAACCGGGGAGGCTTGGTTGCAAACTGCAACCTGTAACCCATTTTTTATCTAGCGTTTCATCCACTTGTCCATAGGACAAGTGTGTTCCCAGACGGAGCTGCGCTCTGAGAGAGCTCGCGCATGCGCCGGTTGTAAGAACGGTTGTCGTAGCAACTGATCCACTTAGAGCCTTCGCCGCCATCACGCTCTCTCGTGTGACCCTTGGGAGGCTTTGCTCGAAAGGGCTGTGCAGGAGCTCCGGGGAGCCCTGCGCGCCGTTGTTTTGAATGCGGCCCGGGAGGGGTTGCCTCCGGGGCCGTACGTGAGCATGAGTTAAGGCGGGTTTCAGTGGAGCCAAACACAGCACTCATTGCGCCGCTGTGATTGGTGGATTCATGCTGAAACGAGGCGGGGGTGACACGCCCTTGCTTGTGATGTGGCTTATGCTGTCTGTCTTCTCTTATGTCCGCCATTCACCAGCGGGGTGAAGAGAAGAGTGTGTGTGCGTTCGCCGGCCACGAGGGGGCGGAACGGGCCACCGAACGTGGAACGGTGGGAGAAGACGTTTTTGTGTGACTGTGTTTAGCAAGGACCAGAGGCCGGCTAGTTTCAGAACTAGCGGACCTAGCCTTACCCATACACATTTCTCCTGCTTCCAAAACACGATGCAGGACGCACACCCGGCCTAAACAGTGCAGGGATTCAAACTGTGTTTAGCAAGGACCAGAGGCCGGCTAGTTTCAGAACTAGCGGACCTAGCCTTGCCCATACACATTTCTCCTGCTTCCAAACCACGATGCAGGACGCACACCCAGCCTGAACAGCGCAGAGATTCAAACTTGTGCTGGCCTCTGTGCTGAGGTCCCGTCCCGTGTTTGTTTTGAAAAATTGACGGCCTGGAGAGTGATGTTGGTTGCAGCACCCGACTGTGCCGCACGATGACGGGACCGTTCGGCCCAGCTGCCAAGCTGCTGGTGTACTGCTTGTGAGAGAAAAGGTCGCCCTCCGGCAGACCGTTCCGCCTCAGCGACGAAGACCATGGAGGACGAAGATTCCAGTACTGGGACTGGCGGAAACCAAAGACGGTCACCCCCTCCACTTTGTCACGTCCGCGTGGAACGAGACCGGGGCTCTCAGCTTGGAGTAAGCAACTCCTAGCATTGTAGCTAGTATCTCCATGCTGGGGCAAAACCCGTCTTGGCCAAACGGTCTGGATGAGCTCCCAGTCCAGTCCTGGCTGGGAGCGTCGACCACTGAATGGCTTAATCCAGTTAGGTAACTCCTCCGTGTTGCGAGCAAGCCAATAGCAGCCAACACATCGTGTGTTACAAACCAGCTAGCAGCAGTCTGCAACTGCTCTGGTCAAGCTACATAGTGCGTCCATGGCTAGGAGCTACACCAAGCGGCAGCACCCTGACTCCAGCTTCTCTACTGAAAAGCGGGGTCCAATTTCGGCACCAAACGCTGAGATATAGTGCACTGCTTAGCTTAGCTAGGTGGCTAACCGGCTTAGCTAGTTTGCCGCCGTGATCTCCGGCGGGAAACCCCGCTAGCCTAGGCCTCCGTCCCCGGAAGAAGATAGCTCAGACCATGCCGAAGATGAGAAGCGCATGGCCCGAAAAATCTGAAAAAGCTTCCAGTCCAGTCCTGGCTGGAAGCGTCGATGTCTGAAGGCCTTAACTACAAGCTACCACATCCGTGTAACGAGTGAGTTAGTAGCGGCTATGAAAAAACGGGGACTCCGTGGAGGCACGAAGATGTCCGGCGCCTTAGCTTAGCATAATACCGTACCGCAGGGACACCCGCGGGAAAAATATATGCTAGCTAAACCACGATCAACCTTCTCCGAGGAAGGAGACCGGAGTAAAAACGGGTTGTGCCGGGGAAAGCCGAACCTCGAGCAGCCCGGAAGGATGGCTACGCGGATCATAGCTCGGTGGCGCCGGACACGAATTCCATGTCAATATAACAGAAATCATAGCACTTAACATGTAAGTGGCGTCTTCTATGGTTACATGTCGAATGCCGAAGCTGAAGAAAAAAGGGGAGCTGAACTCAGGTCCGTCCTCCCCTTTTATACGGACCTAGGTGGGGCCCACAGTACGTGGGCGCAGACTATTGGTTCTTCAGAATGCGCAAGCGCACGTGGGGGTACCCATCTGCGATAGCCTTAGAGGACGGAGCTTACACGAAATAGAACTAGGAGAAGTTTTCCTTCGGGTTTGGTGTAGTCCATTATTGTTGTCTCGCAAATAAAACTAAAGAAGACTTGCGTGTTTGCGGTCCCACCCGCAAAATTGAGACGACTTTCTGCTGCTCAGTTCAACTACGCCGGGATAGAGCAGCAGCACGCTCTGCTGGATGATGTCAAAACTACACCGAAATAAGGTTTAAACGGATGTTTTCAATTAATCGAATGGAAGAAACTTTAATCTAATAAACCATTAATCCCTAATTAAAAATGTTCCAATTGATTAATTGATAACGTGCTGAGGCATCACATTGTCAATTTAGACAGCTTTAACCTGTCAGATCCTTCTCCGAGACTCTGAGCTAAAAGTAGAGACTTCAAACTTTAAACCATTTTTTTAAAATAGAGTTGTTAGGCCAAGTAGAACCAAAGTTATGGTAAAAAATGTACTCCACACTTTCTTTCTTTCTTTCTTTCTTTCTTTCTTTCTTTCTTTCTTTCTTTCTTTCTTTCTTTCTTTCTTTCTTTCTTTCTTTCTTTCTTTCT